AGTCCTGCCGCACGGTGTTCGCTAAATATGGTACACCACCATGCCTCAATGCAACGCGACTGTGTAAAGTCGCGTTCACGTGTTGAGTTGTCGGCGCGAGGAGCGGTGGCACAGTGGTTGGTACAATGTGCTACAAACCGGTTACCCGAGTTCGATTCCCGCTCGCGACCAATAACAGCGTCGAATACTGTGGATGAAGCAATCCTGGGCCTCCCCTAGGCCGATTCAGCCTCAAATGAGTACCTGGTGCTGTGTGCAAACGTCGCCACTGGGGAGACAAAGGCGGTCGGGCGTGGTGCTGGCCACCCACCCCCTCGTGTGCTGTGCCGGCCTTAATAGGTGCTCGCTAACAGCACTTGCCCCACTGTGAATGTCTTGTGCGCATACCTGTGTGTCATTATATGTATCCGCACAGGTTTGTGAATTAGACAGTGTGAATTTCATTGCTGGTGCCTGTGTGTGCGTGTCATTGTTGTACCATTGTGTCAACACGAACGCGTGTGTCAGCCTGCATTTCACTGTGTGCGAGCGAGTTTGCTGTGTGAGCGCATGTGCATACTACAGCATATACAGTTGTTATGAAGCAACGTTAGTTTTTTTATGTTGCTGCTTGTACAACCCCATGCAGCATCTTTGGCTGTAGGTTACATAACCTCGCTGCAGTGTAGAGCGTGACCTGGCCGTCTGTTGTATCGCCACAGACAGGCTTTAAAGCTGACGTGACACCCAGTCCACCCACTCAGCTTTAGCCCGAGTAGAACTATGGGAAGATCCAGAACGTACGGTCACCCAAGCTCTGTGATCACGAATCCAAACCAGGTGTTTGAGATAGATTCATATTTGTGGGGTGGCGCCGCGGTTAGCGCATCGCACTCTTGACAGCCGGCAAACCTTGAGTTCCATTTCCTCCCACAGTCCCCAACAACGCTGATGAATATCTGAACCTCCCCTGGGCCGACTCGGCCTTTAAATTAGTACTTGGTAACAAGGGTTGTGTGTGTTTAAAGATCACCCAGGCGTGGTGCAGGCCACAGCACCCCATCCCCCTCTCTGGCAGGCCTTAATTGGACATTCGCTAACAGCACTCGCCCCAACAGCCCGTCAGGTTCATGGTAGCCCCTGCTTGCTCACCCACAGCATATCCATTATTATTAATCATTTATGCTCATACCAGGATACACATAAGAGGTGTGTAAATAATTCACCCTCACCACGATGTGATAAATCGTAACAGTTCCGTCGAGGGGGTCTCTTCTTGGCAGAGTCTCCTTCTTCCCCCGGATAGTTTCCGTGTCGTGTTAGCGCAAGTGTAGTCATCAAATCAAGATCGCAAGTGTAATATTTAGTCATAACCTTTCGTAAATTGTACGTAAGAAAAAAAAGGAATCCTACACGCGCAATGCAATGCATGCATCGTAAGTTGAAGAAACACTTTTAACATCAATTAAATCGTATATCCATAATGCCGTACATAGCATCAGTGCAATACATTGACGATCGTTGCTCCGACTGCTTTACGTCAACCACAAAAGCGCGTGTGTACAGCCCTTTTTTCTCAATCCACTGCTGGACGGGGCCCTAAAGCCTAGCCACGCCGGTCGTGCGGGTTACTTCGCCATGCGCAGACATGGGCGTATAGCACCGCAGTACAACAGTGAACTTTGCTGCGTTGATTCTAGATTTAAAGCTTTCGTGACTGCAATGATCCACACTCTTTGGTTCTATTCGGTAAAGTCACGTAGGAAAAAAAATAAAACAACAAAAATCACGACGTTTCGGCCACAACACAAGCGGCCTTCATCAGGTGAAGGGTCCAGGCTGTCTCGAGGACAGCGCTGGAGTGAAACACAGCCACGCTCAGACCGCGACCTTTAAGCTGTGTGCGAGGAAACAGAGCGCCTTGACAAAGGAATTAGCATAAACATTATCCATTTGATTGGCCGACTTAGCATGATGAACGGTGTAGAGGTGGTGTAGAGGTGGTGTACATGCGGGTGAACATGCCGGTTGGCGAGCAGCAACTCCCGGCATGCCCATCTGAGGACGAGCCAGGCTGAGGCCGGCTTGGCTTTCTGAGATCTTACAAGATCGGAGTGCGTTCAGAGTTCTTTATTCAAAGGCTTTTTTTCTGTAGGCGGACGCTTCGGAAATGTAGATTCATGGTTGCGATTCGAGGCAAAGAAGTCACACGGCGGCAGTGACTACAACACACCACCACGGCGACACTACCAGGATGAACGTCTGTACAGCGACGAGCTCTTGTTTCTGATCGCACCTATCCACTGTTAACATCGCGCATGACACAAGCGCAGCTCGATGTCTGTTGTCGTCTAAAGGGGTTTAAAGAGTTTACATCAACAAGGTGATGCATTCTAGATTTGAAGCTTTCGTGACTGCAAGGATCCATACTCTTTGGTTCTATTCGGTAAAGTCACGTAGGCTTGCTGTCTTCACTCCAACGCTGTCCTCTGGACAGTCCAGTCCCTTCACCTGATGAAGACCACTTGTGTTGTGGGCGAAACGTCGTGATTTTTTTGTTATTTTATTTTTACCTACGTGACTTTACCGAATAGAACCAAAAAGTAAGGTGATGCATGCATAGGCACGATACACCGTGCTGAATAACCTGCACGTGGGAATGCAGCTGGTTTGAATACCGTAGAATGCACATTCATAATTGTATTTTTTTTCATATATAAACTTAATTCTGGTCTACAATTACAAATGATAAACTATCTTAGTCACAGCTAAAAGGCAGAATACCTAATTGCTGCTGTTACTGTACAGTAAATACATCCGAGATGCGTTCTTGGAGTGCCTTAAATTAAAATAGACACGGTCGTCTTTTTATATATGTGTGATGTTTGATTTTGTTTACAAATCCCATCAGCCATGCGGACTTTTAAGTGTTGCGTCATTTTAACAGCATCAGTTCAAAAACAAGAACAACGCTGGCACCCGGGATCGATATTTGGGTTTCTCATCAGCAGTCAGCTTCGCTGGCAATCAGTTCCAGCGACTGGCCGCATGTCTATCGACAAAAGGGCCCTCTCTGTTAGACACGAGACACAACATCCCCGACAATAAACACCAAACTAGCGAGAGACGAACACAAGACGGCTTACAGCAGCCACGACAGACGAGGCAGTACACATTGCTAAACTGTAGACAGTATATATCGGACAAGACCAATAAGAGTGATCTACAGAGAAGATATACCAGACAGAACAGATGGTCCACATGAGACAGTATATACTAGGCAGTACACATTGCTAAACTGTAGACAGTATATATCGGACAAGACCAATAAGAGTGAACTACAGAGAAGATATACCAGACAGAACAGATGGTCCACATGAGACAGTATATACTAGGCAGCACAGACAGTATACATGAGACAGTATATACAAGGCAGCACAGACAGTATACATGAGACAGTATATACAAGGCAGTACAGACAGTATACGTGAGACAGTATATACAAGGCAGCACAGACAGTATACGTGAGACAGTATATACAAGGCAGCACAGACAGTATACATGATACAGTATATACAAGGCAGTACAGACAGTATACGTGAGACAGTATATACAAGGCAGCACAGACAGTATACATGAGATAGTATATACAAGGCAGTACAGACAGTATACATGAGACAGTATATACAAGGCAGTACAGACAGTATACGTGAGACAGTATATACAAGGCAGTACAGACAGTATACATGAGACAGTATATACAAGGCAGTACAGACAGTATACATGAGACAGTATATACAAGGCAGTACAGACAGTATACGTGAGACAGTATATACAAGGCAGTACAGACAGTATACATGAGACAGTATATACAAGGCAGTACAGACAGTATACGTGAGACAGTATATACAAGGCAGCACAGACAGTATATGAGACAGTATATACAAGGCAGTACATACAGCATACATGAGACAGTATATACAAGGCAGCACAGACAGTATATGAGACAGTATATACTAGGCAGTACAGACAGTATACGTGAGACAGTATATACAAGGCAGCACATACAGTATACATGAGACAGTATATACAAGGCAGCACAGACAGTATACATGAGACAGTATATACAAGGCAGCACAGACAGTATACATGAGACAGTATATACAAGGCAGCACAGACAGTATACATGAGACAGTATATACAAGGCAGCACAGACAGTATACATGAGACAGTATATACAAGGCAGCACAGACAGTATACATGAGACAGTATATACAAGGCGGGACAGACAGTATACGTGAGACAGTATATACAAAGCAGTACAGACAGTATACGTGAGAGAGTATATACAAGGCAGTACAGACAGTATACGTGATACAGTATATACAAGGCAGCACAGACAGTATACGTGAGACAGTATATACAAGGCAGCACAGACAGTATACGTGAGACAGTATATACTAGGCAGTACAGACAGTATACGTGAGACAGTACATACAAGGCAGCACAGACAGTATACATGAGACAGTATATACAAGGCAGCACAGACAGTATACGTGAGACAGTATATACTAGGCAGTACAGACAGTATACGTGAGACAGTATATACAAGGCAGCACAGACAGTATACATGATACAGTATATACAAGGCAGCACAGACAGTATACATGAGACAGTATATACAAGGCAGCACAGACAGTATACATGAGACAGTATATACAAGGCAGCACAGACAGTATACATGAGACAGTATATACTAGGCAGTACAGACAGTATACGTGAGACAGTATATACAAGGCAGCACAGACAGTATACGTGAGACAATATATACAAGGCAGTACAGACAGTATACGTGAGACAGTATATACTAGGCAGTACAGACAGTATACGTGAGACAGTATATACAAGGCAGCACAGACAGTATACATGATACAGTATATACAAGGCAGCACAGACAGTATACATGATACAGTATATACAAGGCAGTACAGACAGTATACATGATACAGTATATACAAGGCAGTACAGACAGTATACGTGAGACAGTATATACAAGGCAGTACAGACAGTATACATGATACAGTATATACAAGGCAGCACAGACAGTATACATGATACAGTATATACAAGGCAGTACAGACAGTATACATGAGATAGTATATACAAGGCAGTACAGACAGTATACATGAGACAGTATATACAAGGCAGTACAGACAGTACACGTGAGACAGTATATACAAGGCAGTACAGACAGTATACGTGAGACAGTATATACAAGGCAGTACAGACAGTATACATGAGACAGTATATACTAGGCAGTACATACAGTATACATGAGACAGTATATACAAGGCAGTACAGACAGTATACGTGAGACAGTATATACAAGGCAGTACAGACAGTATACGTGATACAGTATATACAAGGCAGTACAGACAGTATACGTGAGACAGTATATACAAGGCAGCACAGACAGTATACGTGAGACAGTATATACTAGGCAGTACAGACAGTATACGTGAGACAGTATATACAAGGCAGCACAGACAGTATACGTGAGACAGTATATACAAGGCAGCACAGACAGTATACATGAGACAGTATATACAAGGCAACACAGACAGTATACATGAGACAGTATATACTAGGCAGTACAGACAGTATACGTGAGACAGTATATACAAGGCAGCACAGACAGTATACGTGAGACAATATATACAAGGCAGTACAGACAGTATACGTGAGACAGTATATACTAGGCAGTACAGACAGTATACGTGAGACAGTATATACAAGGCAGCACAGACAGTATACGTGATACAGTATATACAAGGCAGCACAGACAGTATGCATGATACAGTATATACAAGGCAGTACAGACAGTATACGTGATACAGTATATACAAGGCAGTACAGACAGTATACGTGAGACAGTATATACAAGGCAGTACAGACAGTATACGTGATACAGTATATACAAGGCAGCACAGACAGTATACATGATACAGTATATACAAGGCAGTACAGACAGTATATACAAGGCAGCACAGACAGTATACATGAGATAGTATATACAAGGCAGTACAGACAGTATACATGAGACAGTATATACAAGGCAGTACAGACAGTACACGTGAGACAGTATATACAAGGCAGTACAGACAGTATACGTGAGACAGTATATACAAGGCAGTACAGACAGTATACATGAGACAGTATATACTAGGCAGTACATACAGTATACATGAGACAGTATATACAAGGCAGTACAGACAGTATACGTGAGACAGTATATACAAGGCAGTACAGACAGTATACATGATACAGTATATACAAGGCAGCACAGACAGTATACATGATACAGTATATACAAGGCAGTACAGACAGTATACGTGAGACAGTATATACAAGGCAGCACAGACAGTATACATGAGATAGTATATACAAGGCAGTACAGACAGTATACATGAGACAGTATATACAAGGCAGTACAGACAGTATACGTGAGACAGTATATACTAGGCAGTACATACAGTATACATGAGACAGTATATACAAGGCAGTACAGACAGTATACATGAGACAGTATATACTAGGCAGTACATACAGTATATACAAGGCAGCACAGACAGTATACATGAGATAGTATATACAAGGCAGTACAGACAGTATACATGAGACAGTATATACAAGGCAGTACAGACAGTACACGTGAGACAGTATATACAAGGCAGTACAGACAGTATACGTGAGACAGTATATACAAGGCAGTACAGACAGTATACATGAGACAGTATATACTAGGCAGTACATACAGTATATACAAGGCAGCACAGAGTATAACTGAACATACAGTATTTGCCTCTGCAAACCAAAAAGAATCGATTCTGCAATATAATATGAATCGTGGAAAGTAATCGAATCACTACCATCATCATCACCATCATCACCAGCAGCGATCGCCTCTCCACGTGAGTGTAAAATGTGACGTCTTGCCGCGTGTGATGGTGATGATGATGGTGATGATGGTGGTGATGATGGTGATGATGATGGTGGTGATGATGGTGATATGGTGATGCTGATGACGATTATTGCTGATGGTTCGGGTGATGGAGGTAACACGAATGATGTTCGTGATGAAGCTCGTGGTGGTTGTGATGATGGAATGATGATGGTTATTACGAAGATGATGCTGTTGGTGATGACTGATGTATCATTACGGTTAGGAGTATAATGGTCGTGAATGTTGTTATGAAGGCGTTGATGATGTTATCGACAGTGCCGATGACGTTGAGGATTAGTTTGATGATGGCGATGATGATAATGAGTATTATATTATAACGATGGCACTCGTGGTTATAATAGGACAAGGACACGTTACCCTACCCATGCACCACGCACTGTACGTGGCAGGAAGTAATCAGTGAGCATGCGATGTGGCGTTCGTACTTGTGTATACTTACTTACCAATACCACGGTGTTCACTACTTACATAGCACACACAGCCAGTATATACCAATACCACGGTGTTCACTACTTATAGATACAGAGCACACAGCCAGTATATACCAATACCACGGTGTTCACTACTGACATATACAGAGCACACAGCCAGTATATACCAATACCACGGTGTTCACTAATTACATAGCACACACAGCCAGTATATACCAATACCACGGTGTTCACTACTTACAGATACAGAGCACACAGCCAGTATATACCAATACCACGGTGTTTACTACTTACAGAGCACACACAGCCAGTATATACCAATACCACGGTGTTCACTAATTACATAGCACACACAGCCAGTATATACCAATACCACGGTGTTCACTACTGACAGATACATAGCACACACAGCCAGTACTTACCAATACCACGGTGTTCACTACTTACAGAGCACACAGCCAGTATATACCAATACCACGGTGTTCACTAATTAGAGTACACAGCCAGTATATACCAATACCACGGTGTTCACTACTGACAGATACAGAGCACAGTCAATATACATGTACTGCACCACGCTACTCGCGACTTGCAGATGCAACGCAGCCAACATATACCAGTATCGCGATTCACGCGACTTACAGAAACGGACCGCACAGCCCATATACCGGTACCAAGGATGCTTCACGACTTGTATAGAGAGCACACAGCCCATATACAAGTACCACGCAACGCACTAGGTACCACCACAGCGTGCGAGATACGTCGCGGTTGCATTGGTCAACTTAGACGAGAAACGAGCACTCATCGATGCACGGCATCCGATTCGTTTCCTGCGTACACGTTGCCCCGCTAACCAAACCACCCGACAGGGGCACGGCTCTCGGTAGCTCGGCAGCTATGGGCCCGGTAAGGGGCCGGGATGGGTGACTCTGCCATGCATAACAGGTGTTATAGGCTGCGACGGAGCTATCGGCAACGGGCAGCGCAACACCATGTTCTTACACTGCACTTTTATTCACGGCGTTCATCGAATCCCGGCACTGACCACCGTGGTGAAGTATGGTTAAATTACCCCCATGACTCGCACGATGCGGAGAGGCCTTCCTATCCAGCAGCAGCAGTGGGGTGGACAAATAAGGCGGTGCATTGCACTGCATGAGACACGGGTGGCGGATGATGAGCGGTGGCATTGTGACCCCGGCTACCTGCCGAGTCCCAATGTCGCCCACGGCTAACGTCAGTGCCGAGCAATGCGTACATTATTACGATGGCTTAATGCCACCATGGATATCTCATCACGACGCGGGCTATCATTTAACCGCAATGTTAATTTAATACGTAGATTATTAGATGGAACTCAACAATTTATAGAATCCCTGGGGGGGGGAGGGGGGGTCGTGGTGAACTGACCTACCCCTGTAGACTGCTAGTAGTCGCGTGCCCATTCTACTACAGTACCAGATACCTGGGAACATTTTACTCTGAAATTAATCCCACCCTTTCGGGCACCGTGGCGGTGTCAGTCGGGGGCTCGCTGGCAAGGTCACTGTGAAAACGAACCTTTCTCTCTCACCGTTAATAATCAAGCAAAGGCACACCGGGTGATGTTGAGTATTGTAAGAATGAATTTCTACTGTTCATTTAAATCTGCGCTAATATCCATATACCACACCTGTTTATTAACAAATTATATAGTATTATCCTTCCCTTCAACATTTTCATCGAGTCTCAAGACTGCTAAGGATGTTTGACCAATACTGTTGTGTGTGAGCCCTAATTATTTTTTGGGTTAAGCCAGGTAATGATCTGGCCACGTTTCTGCCACAAGATCCTCCACCACCCTACATCACCAAACAAATGCAACTCAACATTCAATTGAGAATCTTAACATTGGCAGCAGAACCTTCTTGTCACATGAACCATCGGGAGTATTTCAGTCGTTTATATCGCCGTGATCGTGAACCTGACCTCTCTGTGACCCTGCAGCTGATTGGACGGCCCCAAGCGGTGACATCGGCAGCAGGGATTACCCAGCAGGCCGTGCTGCTTGGGAGCACAGCCCCCTCGTCGCACACGGCCAATCACATGTACCTGCAGGCCACGCAGATGGTGAGGTTGAGCACCCCACAGGAACACTGAAAAATAATTAGGCAGCCAATCAGAAGTCCTTACCCCCCTCCCCCCTTTGACCTACGTGGTTGTTGTCACACCCATTAGCCACACGCTCTAAAAAGGTACAGGTTAGCGTGCATTACCAGGAATGTTTTTTTCCTTCAGAGAATTAACATTCATTTGACTGGCATTAAGTTCAAGTGGGTGGTGCTGATGTGTCTTCAATAAGTGCAGAACTAAAATATTTCCCTCAAATTGATTTATTCAAACTTTGAGAACTAATAATGTAACTTTGATAATGTGTTTTATTACATATATTTTTTAAGGCCAAAGTGTTATTGATGAATGCGTGGAGTTTTTAAAAATACATTTTGTGCACCTCTGCCAAGGCAGCAGCAGCACCAAATACTTTGCGGATAAAGAGACCTAAATTAGTGACTTGACGTCGCCGTCAGAGGCTGTTCTCTGACACGAGGTGGTACACCGCTAGCTGGAAGAGTTGCAAGGCCGAATAGCCCTCGTCTCATGTCAGAATGGTCCCTGTCCCGGCCCTCGTGACTCAAGGCCCAGCAGAGCACACCCGTGCAGGCCGGCCGCACACTGGGCAGCCCCGTTCCGCTCTCGCTGCAGCTCATCTTCACGCCCGCCGTCACCACGCTGCAGCCCGAGGTCACCATGGCAACCGCGGGCTCCGCTGCGGCGCAGGTAACCCTGGCGATGCGCGGGGATAGCTTGCGCTCTGTCCGTCCGTCTGAGTGTACCCTCTTGTCTGTTCGTCTGTCCTGTCCATCTTTCTGTCTGTCCGTCCATCTGTCTGTCCGTCTGTTCGCAAAGCCCCATTGGGTGAAAATATAAAGAACATGCAGGTTCACCTGACACCAATGTCAATCTCAGCAGCATTGAGATGCTGTCAGAATAGCAATAATTTACCGACCTTTATCAATCCACTGCTGGATGAAGGCCTCCGCATGCCTCATAGGGCACGCACGTTTGTATCCTGTTTTTGTTCTAATTAGCACCTCGTAGCACGGTTGGCTACATACGGTGCAAAAGAAGTCCAACATACTTAGCCGGGTGTGCCACTGCCTGTGCCAGGTGCAGAACCTGGCTCTACGAAGTCAGCAGGCGGCCGTGTCGTCGTCATCGTCATCGGCGGCTGCGTCGTCGTCGGCGGCGGCGGGGGCGTCCGCCACGGTGGGGGCCGGTGGCCCGCAGCCACCCCAGAGCGTGCCGCTCAAGCCGACCGCGGCCGGCCAGTCCAAGCCCCCAGGCCTGACGAAGCCATCCGGCCAGGCCACGTCGCCCAAGACTGGAGCGGCGGACGAGGGCTGGCGGAGGGGCGACACGGGCAGCCCGTCGTCGGGGAACATGGCCGGCGCCACGCGAACTCCGACCCCCGTCGCCTCGTTGCCCGTCGCCACGCCGGGTGAGCGAGCGGGTTGGGGGAACGCGCGCGGGGGCGCTTTGGGGTCGCGTCGTTGGCGGCATATTAGTTGAAGCCCATTGCTAAGCTCGACGGTGCGCTCACCGTCGGTCCTGCCCGACAGATACAAATCGCGTGCAGGTCACATGCGACTGTTGTGCTGAGCCTAATGGAGGCAGCACAAATGTGAAGGCAATGATGCAAATGCGACGACAAAACTGATGCAAAAAAATATTGGGCTTTGGAAATTCGAAAACTTTACGAAGAAGGTCACCCTTGTGGCGTTGACGATGGTGTCGCTGTATATTCTGCGATTGAGTGATTTGCAGATAATTTATCAGCTTTGGAATATTTGGCCAACACGCGTTATAGTGTTTGTTGTTTTTAGTTATGCAGAACATGGGCAGAACATACGACCTCCACACAGAAAGGTGCCCAAGTAGGGCATCGAACCCAGGCCATATTGCTGTGAGGCACGAGTGTTACCACAGGGCCACCCTGCAGCGGGTGGTCGGTAACCACCCTAATTGAGCAAATTAGCCTCTCTAACGATCTTTGCGCCACTGACCTCCGTTCCAGCCGGCATGATCGGGGCCGCCCAGCACCTGATTTCCTCGCAGCAGATCCCGCACGCCCAGCCTAAGCCGTCGCTGCACGGCCAGCTGCACGTCGCACCGCAGCAGCACCGGCCCGCGTGCCCCGGCCAGCCTCCGCCGCCGCCGCCGGCGTCGCCCGCGTCCCAGGGCCGCCCGGCGACGCCGCACGGCGCGGGGTCGGCTTCCGGGCCGCAGGCGCCCACGCGGTCGCCCACCCCGCAGGCCGTGGCGCGGTCGCCCACGCCGCAGCTGCAGGGCTCGCCCGGCGGCGCCCAGGCCCTTCCGCAGCCGCCGCCGCCGCCGCCGCCGTCGTCGGCGTCGTCATCGGTGACCGGGCAGGGCAACGCGCAGGCCCAGCACGCGGTACGTGGCGCGAGTGGGGGGTCGCGGCCGCACGCTCCAGTGAGCTCACAATCAAGGTTTTTTTTTGTTGTCTTGGGTGAGATCGCATGAATACAAATGTGTCGATAAACCCTGCCACCACCTGGCAAAGCCAGTTAGTAAGGTTTGTCACGTAAACAAAACATGCCAATTAGTTACTACTTCAGCCAGAATTGTGAAGAAGTCTTCCTGTTTCCGATCTTAAATAAGCAAGGTGATGTCATCACGTTGAGCCTATCAGCTGCAAAGATCACAGGGGGGTTATTGTGATGATATGAATTACAATTGGTTATGTTAATCTGAGAACATGCAGTACCTATTACCGGTTGGGTTAGTCGCGGTTAATTAACAAACAATAGATTGTTAATCAGAGAATACGCAAGTGCGCTGTGAGCGGGATCGGACAGTCGTGCGACTGGGTACGGAACCACCTGCCCCTGTCACCTAGAGGCGGCAATACAGCAAGTAGCTCTCTTTTCCAGCTGGTCGGTACAAGTCCAGGCTCCACACCTTCCTGTTTTTCACTTCCGATGACCGGCTGCCTCGCTCTCTACTGTGAGCTAAACAACAGCACCAGCGCCAATTCCAATGACTTTAGAATTATAAGCACCTCTCTCTTCATGCTGTTGTGAGTGAGAATTATCTTTGTGCCACACTCGTGACCAGTAGTCAGCTTTGGCCCATGTTCTATCGGCTTGGGCATCTCACTTCATCGGGAGCAAATTACTTGGTTCACCAATGGTGGGGATTATATGATCGCAAATGCTTAGCAGGAGACTGAAAGCAAGGTAGACTGAGCCTGCCCTAGGAGTACAGTGGGTTAATGTCCAGGCCGTTATTTTTGGCTACGCAAAGTCACAAGCCGGTTTCGTTTTGGGATTGTTGGCTTTCTAGCCCCTCTAGAACACGGTTAGCATGTGCATCGCTGTACGTATTGTGATGTCGTTGCAGTTTGCCTGATGTTCTTTATACGCTTACCGATTTGCTGTGTTCAGCACCGCAGAGGGCGCAGGAGGTTTGACCTCTGAACGTAGGAAATAGATTTGTCGGTCCCACTGTGTCCGCTAAGCCAGCTGTCGGCATGAAGTCACGACCTTGGCGAGGCTGCCTCTGTTATGCATCTCACACCAGCGCTCGGGCGAGCGATGCTGACTGGGATGATGCCCGCTCTCTTGCCTTGGTCATCGTTTTCCCATTATACCAACTCGGCTGCGGGAATTTTTAACACGCCACATTTGTCGACGGCACAGAAAGCTGAAGTTCAAGGTTGAACATTTTGTGCTTCGCTGAATTTTACCGTTGCTTTCCGAACGCGCTTTTGCACGGTTGTGTCGTGACGGCACGGTCGCGTCAACGCGCGTGCGCGCGTCCGCCACAGGTGATGCCGCAGCCCCTCGCGCTGGTGCAACCGCACGTGGCCCTGAGCCAGAGCCAAGCGTCGCGCTCGCCTCCCAGCACCTGCGACGCCCACCACCACCACCATCACCACCACCATCACCACCACCAGCAGCAGCAGCTGCAGCAGCACTCGTCAGCACCGCAGGCCCTGCTGCAAGGCCACAAGGCCGAGCAAAGCATGGCCACCGCTCAGGGCCGTCAGGGTGGCCACCAGACCGCGCCGCCGCTGCCAGGCGGCGCTTGCCGGCAGGCGGTGGCACCGGCGGCCTCCTCCTCCTCCTCGGCTTCTCTGCAGGTGCAGGGCGGCAGGCTCACGCAGCCTTCGCTCCCGCCGTCCGCTCCCCAGTCGCCGGCGGCGCCGGGCCGGCTGGCGCCGCAGCCACAGCAGGGGATGGTGCAGGGCCAGGTGAGGCAGGCACAGGTGCAGCCGCAAGCTCAGCAGGGTGCGGCCAGGCAGGGCCAGCCGGCGCCTCGTCCCGTGCACGGCCCCTGCTCGCACCAGACGCTGCCCACGTCGGCGCCGGCGGACGGGAAGGCCAGGGACGTTCTGCCCACGCTGGTGCGGGAGCAGCCCCTGGGGCAGCTCGCGCAGCCCCTGGGGCAGCTCGCGCAGCAGGGCGGCTACGGGCTGCTGCCGCCGCCGCAAACGGTCGCCATGAACCTGCAGGTGCAGTCGACGACGCAGACGCAGGCCGGATCGGTGAGCATGGGGGGACACACGTGCACTGTGTGGGGCGTGGGGGGCACGCACTGTACGGGGCACGCATAACAGGAGGGAGTGAGGCAAAACTATTTAAATGTGCATAGTGAATAGATATATTTCTGTTTAAGATTCATGGTTTCCTTTGGGTTAGATCGTGTAGGCATAACGTCAGATTGATATGAATATTGATCATGAAAGTCTGCTTGTAAAAATTTACATTGATTTACTTTGGAAAGACTTGCTGAGTCTGAAGTCTGTGTTTACAGGAGAGTCCTAAATTGGAATGTCTGGCAACTTCCAAAAATGAGATTTTGGCATGCCGAAGTATGCTGTAATACCCGAGGGAAACCAACACACGTCCAGGCCAGACACTCAAAAGCTCTGCACAGATAGATTGAGGTATCCATTATCACCTGGCCACCTCAAAGCCCAAGCCCACAACTCCTGGGAAGCCTCGGAAATCTTCCAACCGAGATCCAGTTACACCAGCAGGCACGTGAGGGTGATTTTCCCACGTGGAGCGCGCTCGATTTTTTAGGCAAAATTATTGAATCTTAGAATGAACGAAACCCGATCTGAACTTTTCCTGGTCCACCCTTCTTCGGCAACCTGTGCTGACCAGCAAGGGGAACTCCAGTTCAAACTACGCACATAATTGACTTGGCATGGGGAGCACTTGATTCATTAGCAGTTGAATTATGAAGGAAATACTGCCGCTTATTCCTCTATAACTCTTCAAGTGCGCCAGCTTCATTCGTCACGCCCAGTGTCCCAGTGTTGCTACACTGGGCGTTGGTTTTCACCGTTGTTGAGTGGCGTTAAAAAATTGATTTCCGGCTCATATGAGCATTGGTGCATTGGTGCTCACATCGCCTCTTTAAAGCCCTGCAGAGCCGGTGGTGGAAATTCCACATTCCTATGACAGGGATGAATCTGTCCATAGGGCATCCGCTGTTGAGTTTCCCACAAAGTGGTACTCATGTTATCCACTCCGGAGAGATGATGATGATGAGCTGAGTCGAGTACCCCAACTCGGATTTGAACTCACGCCCTTCCGCATTGCTTGCGAGCCGCTCGCTTGGTGGAGTCGTCTTGGGGCGAATGTGAGCCTCCCCCGTGCAGTTCCTGTAGCACTGTCATGCCTGTAAATACGTGAATGGAAATCAAAGTGAAATGGTCCGTAGCTGTGCCGTTGCATAACGGATGCGTGTGCAAGCATGTGCGCTCGTGTGTGTGTGTGTAAATATGTGTGGGGTGGGGGCGGCGGCGGCAGTGGCGGCGCAGCGGTTAGCGCATTGCGCTAACAACTCGGTTAGCGCAATGCGCTAACAACTCGGTTAGCGCATTGCGCTAACCGAGTTCTATTCTCAGCCACGGGCAACGTCGGCGGCGAATATCTGAGCCGGTCCCGGGCCTCCCCTAGGTCGACTCGGCGTTAAATGAGTACCGGTGCGGTGTTTAAACATCGGCACCGGGGAGACGCGGCCACTGTGCCGGCCTTAATAGGTGCTCGCCAATGGCACTTTCCCCAACAGTATGTCAAGGCTATCGGGGGAAATTTGCTTGCGCACGCCGTACACGTGTGTGCTTTGCGCTCGTTGCAGTCTCGTGGAGGGCGGGAGGAAGGTCGCGTCACCACGGCGACGGGGAGCCCGGGAGAGAAGCGCTCGGTGACGCGCAGCCCCACGCCGCCCCCTCCGCCCCTCTCCCCCGTGCAGCAGCCCGACTACCGGCCTGACTCCCACACGCACGGTCAGCACACGCACACAAGCACGGACTCGCACACGGGGGACACGGACAAAGATCCCCCGTATAGCCTTCGCACACTGCTAGGGCAAGTGCTGTGAGCGAACATCCTATGAAGGCACACGAGGGGGTGGGTGGCCAGCACCACGCCCGACCGTCTTTGTCTCCCCAGTGGCGATGTTTACACACCACACCAGGTACTCATTTGAGGCTGAGTCGACCTCGGGGAGGCCCAGGACGTGAGCGGGAATTAAACTCGGGCCGCCGGGTTCATAGCACAGCGCACTAACCGCTACACTACCGCTCCCCACAACAATACACTCACTCACCAATTCACACATTCACTCGCTCACTCCCCATCATCATAATGTACAAACACACAGTCAGCATGCGTCCCTACACACATAGAAGTGTAGTAGCTGTACAACAATAGAGTTTGCTTTACTGCTCTCTCTGCTGGTCACCGTATAGCCTCACAGCACATATGGCAACCTGGAATGTTTGGTAGCTACTCGGCATAGAGAACGGCCAGATGTTAAAGGCATAATTCTAACGGTTAATAAAAAAGCGGGTTTAGACAGAACATGTCACTTATCAGAATCAGCATTTGTATTTGTACTGAAGGAATTCGATGAGCTATAAAGCTCTTTCTTACAGACGTCCACTTGAAGGAGTGATGGCCCGTGGTCGAGATCGAGCGATTAATTCAACTCGCTTGCCCGATGGATCGATGCATTGCAAGACCACGAGCGATGGCCCGCGATGGTGATGATGATAGTAGTGATGCTTGTGGCCCCATGCTTGAAGTGGGTAGACATTGACCAACGTGGGTTCCGCTGCCTTCCCGTGACCCCGCAGACAAGGAGATGGACACGGGCGACGACGCAGCTCCCTCCATCTCGCCCTCGGCGAAGAGCCCCGGCGTGACAACCACGACGGCGCACCTGGCCGACGAGTCGATGGACACCACCGAGGAGGCCCCGGCGCCCGGCGGCACGGGCCCCGAGAGCGTCTCCGCGGCCCGAAGCGAGACGCCGCGGCCGCCCCAGGCGATCGTGAAGCCACACATCCTCACGCACGTCATCGAGGGTTTCGTCATCCAGGAGGGAGCTGAACCCTTCCCCGTGAGCTCCAAGGCCAGAGGCGCTTGCGTTATGGTGGGGGAGGGTGGCGGGACCTTGCACATCCTCAGTCCAACAGACACGAATACATTTCAGCGCAACTCGATTCGTTTGTTGTCATTTAACAATGCCGCGTGGCCTCGGAGAGCAAAAAGTGAATAAACTTAACGGAGGCCGTGCCGTGGCAGCGGCTCGCCAGCCCGCGGCTGAAGCTGCCATCGGCCTGCGTCAAAAAGCCGGCGGGTAATGCCGTGCGTTTAACCGCGCAGGTGGGCCGTTCCTCGCTGCTGGTGGAGAAATCCGACAAGGGCCGGCAGCCGGCGCCGCCAGGCTCCACGCCGTTCCCCTCGGACGACAAGTCTCCTCCGCCGGGACCCGACTCGTCCGACTCGGACATGGAGGGGCTGAGAGAGATGGGTGAGTGGGGGTCGTGAGGTGGGCGAGTCGGGTCGGTGTGACCCCACGTGCCGGTGTGACCCCGCGTGACGGTGTGACCCCGCTTGCCGGTGTGACCCTGGCCATCTGTGTGTGCCGTCAGGAGGGGAGCCGGGCCGCGAGGTCGACATGATCCAGTGCGAGTTTTGCCGGAAGATCGACTTTGCTTTCCGCTTCCGCCGCTCTAAGCGCTTCTGCTCCATGGCGTGCGCCAAGCGGTGAGGCTCGCACGGAGACTCGGACTCGATACGCAGACTCGTGGGCTCACGTGGAGACGCGGACTTGGTACGCAGCCTCGTATAGAGACGCGGGCTCGCTTAGACTCGCTCACTTCAAGAAGTGAGACAAAGCGAAGTGCGCACAAATTTTTGTTGACGCTTCTGTGTGCGTGTTTGCACGTCTGTAAGTCTGCATGCTTGCACCCTTGTGTGTGTGTGTGTGAAGAGTGGTGTCAAGTGGTTCATGCACTCAGCAACGAACCCAGCATACCTGGATTCGATTCACAGCCCGAACTCACTTACATCAGTGACGAAATATCTGAACCTTAAGTTCAGATATTTCGTCACTTTAAGTTGAGCCTTAAAAATATATACACGTGGAGCAATGTGTAATCATCAGCACTGCGGAGCAGTAGTCCAGAGGTTAGCACACTGTGCTACGACCCCGGCGACACGAATTTGATTCCCGATGACGGTCAACATCGGTGACAAATATCTGAACTGGTCCTGATTCCTCCCTAGGTCGACTCAACTTTAAAATGAGTACTTGGTACGGTGTGTATAAAATATCAGAATCAGAGTCTTTATTTATAGAAATCCGACGAGCTACGAAGCTCTTTTTCACAGATCTCCAGTAGGTGAGCGGGTCAGCAAGTCACAACAACAACACAAAAAATACATCTATATCAGTCTTTGGGAGACAAGGGGAGCCGGAGCCTGTTGCTGGCCACCCATCCCCCTCGTGTGCCGTACAGAGCCTTCGTAGGTGCTACTCACGAATAGCACTTGGCTCACGAGTCTGCTGAAGGCTACAACACGAGGTGGGGGGGGGTCTTTGTGTTTGTGTGCGCGAAGCTACAACGTGGGCTGCAGTAAACACGTGGGGCTCTTCGGCCCCGCGCAGCACGACCACGTCTCGCAGCGCCGGGAGCGCGCGGGGCAGCGCGGGCGGCAGCGCCGCAGCGCCATCCACCCGCTCGCTCGCACGCACTCCATGCGCCAGGTGCGATCATCATCATCGCTATCTTCATTGCCATCGTTATCATCACCATGGCTACCATTATCACCACAATCGCCATCATCATCGCCACCATAATCATTATATGCACCGCCTTCATCAACATAACTATCATAATTGTATCACTGCCACCATCATCATTACTACCAACATCACCATCGTCACCACCATTATTTTCATTGCCATCATCACTCCTGCCATCGTCATCATCGTCATCGTGAATGATAAGTCATCACTTCCATCATCATAATAGCCAGCGTCATCATCACTACCATCACCGCCATCACCCTGATTATGGTAGCCAGTGTAATTATCATCATCATTACCATCATTTCTACCATCATTGCAATTATCAGCACCATTATTATCGTTATCACGCTCCATCACTACAATCATACAATCATCACCGCTATCATTGTCCACCACCACCATTGCTGGAGTCATTGAGTGTTGATAACGAGAGTGATACCTTTTATCCAGGATAGCCTCATTAGAGGGAGATTAAACCACCATCTCCTGGTCACCGTGCAGCCTGCTCACGGCCGACACCAGCGACGATTATCCGAACCGGTCCTGGGCCTGTCCTAGATCAACTAAGCCTCAAATAAGTACCTGGTGCGGTGTGTAAACATCACCACTGGGGGAGACAAAGGCGGCCGGGCGTGGTGCCAGCCACCTACCCCCTCGTGTGCCATGCCTGCCTTCATAGGTGCTGCTCACTAACAGCACTTGCCCCAACAACAGTCTGTTAAAGGCTATACGGAGGACCTTTGTCTTCCCTGGCACCGGCAGCCTGTGGCGGGCGGTGGTGTCGGCAGTGGCGGCGGCAGCGGCAGCGGCGGCGGCGATGACCGACCAGGGAGCGAGCAGCCGCACGCGGACCGCGCCTCGTCTCCCTGTGCCACCGTCGCCATGACGACGCGGCGGCGGCAGAGCGAGCGCGAGCGCGAGATGCGCGACCTGGCGATGACCGAGCCGTCGGAGCCGCACGGGGAGAGGTTCTCGCACGAGAGTCCCAGCCGCTGGAGCGTCGAGCAAGTGTGGGGGTTCATCCACTCGCTGCCCGGTGAGCGTGGGGGTCACCGGTCCTCCGATCCCCCCAAACCGGCTCCCGTTCCATAAATTTCAAGATCCTCCATGGACTTGAAGTTAGTGGCCTTTAAGTGGCTGGATGAGTCGTTTGTACCCATTATATACAGCATGTATTCGTTTAAAAGCATCTGTTCTTCCAGGTGTGATTTTATGCGTGTGTTGGGAACAGATATTAAGAAGAGATATTAATCGATGAATCCTGTAATTCCTAGTTGTCTACACTGTGGGCCAGCGTTGTTGTTGTGTTGATATATAGTTTTTGTTGTAACTCTGCGAGCCTGCGTTGCTATGTTGTTGTTGTCTTGTTGTTGTAACACTGTGTGAGGTCACACCGCGCTGCCTGTCACGCGTTCCAGGCTGCCAGGAGGTCGCAGACGAGTTCCGAGCGCAGGAGATCGACGGCCAGGCCCTGCTGCTGCTCAAGGAGGACCACCTCATGTCGGCCATGAACCTGAAGCTGGGCCCCGCGCTCAAGATCTGCGCTCGCATCAACCTGCTGAAGGACGCCTGAGATCCACCCTCCCCGGGCCACTCGGCCTCCGAGCCTCTCCGGTTTCCCTGCCTCTCGGTCCCCCGGTTCTCGGCTTCACAGACTCAAGGCTTGAGAAGTTCTCCTTACGCTCGGACCCATGGCCTCCGTGGAGTTTGGACCCGCGGCTGCGAGGGGGGTTTAAGAGACGAGGGAGGTTTTTCAGCCTCGTCAATAATCGGACGCCCGGGCTGGAGCTGCGTCTGGGCTGAGATTTTTACCGAGCGAACGTGAAAATGGAAGAGATTAGAGAGCGACCCGACAGTGCGGAGGGTGTGGGTGAGAATAAGGGGGTGGGAGGGAAGGGGTGGAGAATGTTCATGCTCGTCCATGTACTCGGCGCAATTACATTCATGTAGCAAAAAATAACAACTACAAAAATAGTTTTATACGTATGCGGTCGATATGCCTGAGAACGATGAATGAATGACGATATCGTTTCAGCTTCGCTTCGCACCGTGTCATCCACCATGCTTGCGGTTGCACATTGGAGCTTGTGTCTGTGCTGCCTGGCGACGATCGGCCTCAAACATCTCGCCGCCTTCTCCTCTGGGGCCATCACGACAACGGGGAGGAAGTGACGGCGTGGATGCGGGTGGACTTAACGGCGTTGACCGGATGTGGCCTCCTTTGACATTTCAATACCACCGGGTACCTTGGTCGCCACAAACCGTGGTTTGGTCGACTTGGCGCCGCCAGGATCTCGGGAGACTTGGATTGCAGTGTCTGTGTTTACGAGATGGCCGTGTTTTATGTCAACGACAACAACGACAAGAAAAAACTAAAACTGCACGGAAGATTTTGAGCTGACAGCGCGCATTTGAGACTCGTGCCTCTCCTGTACAGGACACCGCTCACGTTGGATTCTATTCTATTTGGGATTTATATAACGCCCTTTCCAGGGCACTTGACAACACAAGCCGACGGCGGTACACAAGGGGCAAAAGGGGAGCAACGGGTGGGGTGGAGCGGCTGTCAGTGGGAATAAGGGGGGAGTGTGATGGTGAATGAGAGTGACAGATGGGTGCATTGTGGATCAGAGGCAGCAGGGTATGGGGCACATGCGTGAAGTGTTGAGATAGGTGCTATGGTTGGGCATGGATGAGAGCAGGTGAAGGGTGGTAGGGGCAGAGGTGTGGTGGCCGGATAGTTGAGCTGATTGAGGAGCACAGCGGAGGGCTGAAGGAACGATGTGGTTAGGTGCACGTAGAGAAAGCGAGACGTGAGAGCCGGGTCAGGAATTTGGGTCGTAGGAGGAAGAGAACCGGGAGGCTGGGAGTGGGTTAGAGGCGGGGGAAGGAACCGGTAGAGGTGGAGGCAGTGGAAGAGAGAAAGGACCTCAGGGCAGAGCGAAAGGAGGAAAGCGAGGGGGAGAGTCTAATGTGTGGAGAGGGAGTTTGTTCCATTGCAACGGGGCAAGAAGAGAGAAAGATTGAAAGCGAGACTGGGCGCAAGGGGTTGAAGGAGCAAGTGAGAAAACTGGAATGTTGAGATTGGAGGGAGCGTGAAAGGGCACATAAAGAGGTGAGAGGGAGGGGCGGGGGCAAGACCGTGCAAAAAAGACAGCGGTAATAGACAGGAAGCGAGTGAAGTTGTCGAAGGAGAGGAGAGCAGTGAGATGTGTATGGAAGGTTGAGTACAGTGTGTGTAGCTGCGTTTTGGATGTGTTGGAGAGGGATAAAGGCGTAAGTGGGGAGACCGACCAGGAGTTATGTGCATCAATCGAGACGAGTGAAGGCAAGGGGGAGTGTACGATGAGTTTGGCAGCGGTGGTGGTGATGAGGGGGCGGATTTTCCTGATGTTGTACAGATGGTAATGGCATGTGCGAGTGGTGTTGGCAATGTGGGAAGTGAAGGAAAGAGTGGACTCGAAGGTAACGCGAGTAAGGGTGGAAGAGTTTGGGAAGAGGCTAAGGGGGGGGGGGGGGGGGTGAAGGAGGGGGGTGAGCGAGAGGATGAAAATAAAAACACCGAGGTTTTGGAAGGATTTAGGGAAAGGAAGTGTTGGGTCATCCACACTTGTATGGGTGTCAGGCAGGATGAGATGCGGAGGGAAAGATCGGGGGTGAATGATATGAAGGAGAAGAACATTTGAGTGTCATCAGCAAATGTGATAGGAAATATCCCAGGAAGAAAGAATAGACTCTCACGTCCAGGCAAAGGTATCGGCTCCAAGTCGTCATCGTCGTCATCGTCGTCAATAGCCGCGCTTTATATTTTCAGTGTCGCTTAGAGTTGCAACTTTAAAAGAAATATATATTGAGTATGGAGCGATAATTAGCGACAACAAACAAACATGCAACGGAGTGCTTTCTTTAACAAAAGCCTTAACTATTTTCCCGTGACGCTACAGGCTGCTGTGTGTAAGGCCAGTGGCCTCGGTGGGCACTTTGTTGGCCGGACGGCGGTCTCTCCTGCGTGGTCTCGTGAGCTCGTGCCCCTGTGGGCGCCTGTGGTGCCACTCTCCGCCGTGACGCCGCGGTGGAGAGTGGTGCCACTCTCCACTGCAGTGCCACTCCGCCATGGCTGCACTCTCCACTGCAGTGCCACTCTCCGTGCATCCCGGACCAAGTTTGAGTCGTGGACGGAACGCCGCTCAAAAACATTGATAATGACGGATAAAATGGGAATATTTTTTTCCCTCTCCGATTTTAGCTTAGAAATTAATTACAATAGTAAACATTAACACGCACTTATATTTGTTAAGGTTTCAAGCGTATGTCGGAGTGTTTGCCGTATCTTGGCTTTGTCTCGTCTCAATGGTCTTGGCTTGCCGAGCTTGTAGAGGGACCGGCTGTCTCTACGACAGTAGCCACTCGAGTGCCACGCCGCTGAGTGGATGCTGTGGTGCCACGACGGGACTCTGGCCCCATGTAGGCCTTTTTGCCGCCCTTAGGCCTTAACTTGGCAGACGATGGCCTGCAGTCGTCGCTGTGAGCACACGTAGGTTGGCTGGCAACAGTGTTGAAACGTCTGACCGCTACGCACTTGAGCGGCGCACTGAGATTGCTATACCGCAATCATTACTCCAGCCTTAACGCGAGTGCTCACTTTTTACCCGTAAGTCAAGACCTAGCCATAATAAATCATTTCCCATTGCTCTGCCGTCACATTCAACTTTGCGCTTACCCTACTATCCTAATCCGAACCCGTGTATTTTGTAACCCAGGTGAGAACTCGTAAGAGACCAGCATCGTCTCATTTGCAAGTGAGACCCGGGTCACCAATATAACCCTAACGGTAGTTGAAACAACGACCGCTACAATAACACTAACCCAAACATAAGTCCCTAACGCAATGGTCACCCAAACTAAATCTACGGCCACCCGCAATTGCCCCTACCCAACCCGTAGCCCGACCTATAACGATGGCCTTGGATGATGTTAACATTTTTGCAATGAAGAGGGCCTCGAAACCATATCTGGCTGAATTGGCGTCGCCTTTCCGTATCCTCCATGGCGATCACGACGGCACGTGCTCACCCGCACAGCTCTGGTCCGCTGCGGACTGAGAGCCCGTTCACCTGCGCTGTACCGACCAGACGGGCGACGATTTCCTTCTCACTGCCTTGTGCGGTTCGCCTATGGCCACTGAGTGAGTCGTCGCGAGGTTTGTGAACCCAGCGAGAGGGCCCTGCCCAGTTTTCCCACCGCAGCCGCCTGTGAACTGTTGTCAGGCCACGTTGGTGGTGTAGCATGCCTGGAATGGGTCCCCCGGTGGAAAGAATGTGTGAAGAAACTCCATCGCAGGTTCCATTTTCTAGATTATTTGTTTCACGATAACATTTACAAGGCGAGCGTACGACTCACAAGTTTCACAAGGCTATCTGCAGCCCCGGTGGTTTCCACCAGATTAATCTCGAACAGTCCTTCTTGATGGTTTCCACCATGTAGATCTCCAACAGTTGGCCCCGATGTCGTCCACCTGCAGTCATCCTCGAGCCAGAGCCTCGAGCGTGGACCTCGCTGCCCCTTGTATACCCACTCAGCCACGCCCTGGTAACTTCCAGCACTTTCCTCCGGTAGATTCCTCCGGCAGACTCCACCTGTCTTCTACTTCACTTGTGTCCACCCATTTCCACTCACTCCACTATAACACTTGCCATGTACAGTATTCTACAAATATAATGGGGGGGGGGGGCGGTCGCCCAATCTCTGATTTGCCCGCTCTTCGTAGTCTTGATGCCTTTGGTCCGTGGGGCCTACATCAGCGGTGGGCAACTGACATCTCCCAAGCCGCATGCGACTCTTTAATCCACGACATGCAGCTCTATCGAAGGGGCATAACGTGGAACGTACTGTCACAGTAGTAAAGAATAATCAGTCTCTCGTGCTGTGCTGAAAACTGTATATATATACACACACACTAGGCTCTGTGCAGAACTCATGGGTACGTTTTGGCTCTTGGTCTGTTACAGGTTGGCCACACGTGGCCTATGCTCTCGACACACCTACGCCGCTCGGCCATGTGACTCGCTTCGTAACAAACGCTAGCCGCTTCTGAACGGGCAGTCTGGGTGGCTGATGCTGCACGAACGTAGATCGGCCTCGCAAAACCAACACCACCCAGCCAGGGCTGTGCATTCTCAGTGCATTCTACAATCCACACAAGCCGTCACCCAACAGTGGGACATCTTTAGCCCACAGGCCGTGACTTCTTTTTATATGGCCCGTGGCCACGTGAAGGCCACCACTTACAAATCGGCCTGCAAATATATATTCATCTGTCACTGCAAACATCTTGGGGAATATTTTCAACCTGGCAATCTTCCTCGTTGGCTCGCTGATGTTCATGTAGCGCAACAGGCTATCGTTTTTACATTGACACGATTGAGTCGGGTAATTGCGTCGAGGAGTAGCAGAGTCGTGCATCGCCACTGGGAGGATGCCTCCTTGGTATTTGTGAATTGGGAAGATGGCAGCCTCCACGCGGCTCGCTCTATTGAGTGAGAAATCGCCACGAATGCCCTTAAACCCGGTGACTAACATCGAGCGACGATCTCCCGGTCTCCAGAACAGCGACTCGCTCAACCTTGCCATAACGCCGTGTTTGTAACTTTAGCGACGCTCGGTCATTTCTGTCGCTGCACGGGCCTCCCTTTATACTCGGTCGACACACACGCTAATATTTGCATTCTTTTTTATATATATAAAGCTAAGCTTTGTGTCGATGTACGTTTTGCCTGCTGAAGGTATTTGAACGTCCCGTTCGGCCCTGCGCAGGAAAAAAAGGTTCTCTGCTGCTGCGATCGGCCAAAAACTGTGGCCAGAGACAAACTGGCATTGGCCACGTGGCCGGGATAGGCCCCTCACCGCGGGCAGCACTTGGTTCGTTTTTGTTTGTAGTGTTTTTGTGCTTCAGCTGCTGTTGAGCAATGAGGGTTTGTATTAAAGAGCCAGCGGTGAGTGGTGGCTTATCTGGGTCAAGTGAGGGGTTCAATTCCACCCGTTTCTGCCTCCTGTACGTCCTCTGTGTCGCTCGTGATTTCGGTGCAGTAAAATAAACTCCCAGTCACCTGAAGCGTTGTGGGCATTTATTTATTTAAACAGTTGCTGAGCAAAGGCCCAAAACGTCAAATGGCCAGCAACAAACAGCACTTACATCAAAGCTGCCCTTTAATTCAGCGAAGTTGTATGCGTTTGGGAAAAGCTACGTTGACGATGATGATGGGAGAGGAAATTCCTAAGTGGAGCAGCGCAAGAAGCAGATAAAAGTAAAGTGAGATCAGATTCCTCGAGAATAAATAGAGATTCTGAATGAGTGGATGGTTGAGTAAGTGAATGGAGCTTTATAGCTCATCAGATTCCTCTAGAATAATCAAGGATTCTGATTCTGCGTGGGTGTTTGAAGTGAGTGAGAGGGCAGAGATGATCTCCCAAGCGAAATGCTGAGGGAGGGTGGCGTTTGTGTACAGACTGCCCTACATGACATCATAACAACAGTCTGGACCATTGGACGGTTTCCGCAGGATTACAAGGATTCCTTGGTGGTCCCCCTCTTGAAGAAGGGGGACCGTAATAGAGGTTTTTTGGGTTAGATCGCGTAAATATATAAATGTGTCGTTAAAACCCGCCACCACCCGACACAGCCAACTAGTAAGGGTTGTCACGTAAACAGAACTTGCCAATTCGTTACGAGTACAGCACCGGTGTGTTGGAGAGCCAAGCCATTACATTTACAATCTGAATACGACGTTTCGCCAGTAATTACAACTAGCTTCATCAGGCGACAGCCAGATTTGTGAAGTCCACCTGTTTCGTTCCTTATATAGAGGCGTCGATGTGGTGACCACGCTTCTGCGTTCTTGCGTCACGTGGGAGGGGGGATTACTGAGTCAACGTACATTATGCATGTGCATTATGCGAGTCCTTTGATCTTGTCCCTCCTGTCCATTGTGTGTATTAAAATATCCGTACCAACGGTAATCCCTATTGAAGTATGGTGGCCTATATAGGCATGCATTTAAACAATGTATTATTTGATTATTCGCTTCCACGCAGCACTAAGTCGGTAGGGTTAACCGCACAGATTGTAACAACTACAGGGGAATTTCACTCCTTAGTGTGCCGGGAAAGATCCTGGCAGGGATTATTCAACATTGCCTTGCCAGGCACGTTTAGGAGAGGCTTGCGGAGCCCAAATATGGTTTCAGGAAAGGGCGATCCCGCACAGATGCCATATTTTGTCGCGTCTGCTACAGCAGAGGTGTAGGGAATAACCGCAAGACTTACATCTCTTCTTTATTGACATGGCCAAAGCCTATGATACCATTAGTAAGCCTGGGCTCTGGTTTGTTCATACTTTCGGAGTCCCTGACTCTGCTCACAATCATTAAGGACCTTCATTATGGTCAGCGGGCCCGGGTAAAACTATGTGGACGGGAGTCGGAGCCATTCCCTGTTCACCTTCGGGTGCGACAGGGATGTCCTCTGGCTCCCATATTATTTAACATCTATTTCGACCACGTACTTCGTGAAGTTTTCGATGGCTGTACCGGAGAAATTTCCATTTGGTACAGATACAATGGGAGGCTGATCGATGCCCAGGTTGCAGTCAAGGGATAGCTCCCTATTGCTCAACCACGTTATGTATGTCGATGATCTGGTGATTGCTGCTCACTCAGAAGAGGAGTTGGAGGCGCTGCTGCTGAGACTGGAGCGTACCACTAAGAGGTGGGGCCTTACCATCAGCCCCACCAAAACTAAGCACCTGCCTGGGTATTTTGTACCATCGGACACTCCACCCTCTCCACAACTCCCAATCGGTGATGGGGCAGTTGTGGAGAGAGTGGAGAGTTTCCCACACCTGGGCAGTGTGTCCAGTTTAACAGCAGAGGTCTCACTCCGAATCAGTCGAGCGGCAATATCTTTTCATCGGTTGCGTAACGCTGTGTGGAAGCTACCTGGTCTGTCGCTCCGCACGAAGCTTCGGGTCCTCTCGGCCACGGTCATTCCCTCTCTTCTCTACGCTTGCGAAACGTGGACTCCCTTAATCAAACATATTCCCCGGTTTACAAACATTTAGGCTGGCCTGCCTAAGATCCATCCTGGGTTTAAGCAGGCTGGAATATGTGAGGGCAAGGTCCCATCGGTGAGCACCTCCGGCAGGCACGGCTACGTTGGCTGGGTCATGTAGCCCGCATGCCCAGCCACCGCATGCCAAAACAGCTTTTGTTCGGCCGGACAGAGTGGGCTGAACGGGCGCGGCACGGGCTAGAGAAGAGATGGTGTGATGTGGTACAGGAGGACGTGGAGCTGAGTGGACTTGCCGATGACTGGTACCAGCGGTGTCAAGATCGGCCTCTGTGGAGGAGGCTCGTGAAGGACGCTACTGGGCAGTTGGAGGTAGTCGCCCTCCAACAACAACGGAGGGCGGAAGAGCGACGCTCACAACAACGAGCGGAGCGCTGGGTGGCTAAAGCACAGCAGGTTGGCACAGTAGGGAGCACAGGTGATACATCAGCCAGTCATCTCAGTCATCTCAGTCAGTCGACCCGTGGCACCTGGGTCTGCCCCGTGACCTCCTGCCAGCGGGCGTTCGACACTTCACGTGGCCTTGGCGTGCACCGTCACTTAGTGGCGAATGGCGGTTGTTTTTGTTGCACCCTGAATATCGCCTATCGATCCGCCCCTACTGGACATCTGTATAAAAAGAGCTTCATAGCTTTTCGTATTCCTCCAGTCTAAAGATGTTCACTCTGATTGTTGCCCTGGTAACCGTCCGCTTGCTAGCGTCTTCTGGAAGACCGCGAGCGGCAACTGAACAGGGCGGAAGAATCTTCCGGGAGATTCTTCCGGAAGATTTTGGAGCGACGGGCGAACCCGACGGAAGTTATCTTCCGGAAGAATCTTCCGGAAGACAACAGATGTGGGCCGCGTTCGTTTGGTGCGGCTGAGCAGGCCGCGAATGAATGAACGGTAGAAATCTTCCGGAAGAGGAAGAGACGGGAGCGAGCAGAGAGAGACTCGAAGAACGATGGGCGCCTTGGTGAGGACGCTGCCGTGGCTACTCGCCGGTTCTGTGCTTCTCGTCGCCCTCTCCGTGCCCCTCGTCGGCTCGTGGCTGCGCACGAAGCGCTACGTCTTCGAGCCCGAAGAGGTGGCGAGGGTGGCAAAGAAATATGCGGGTGAGCGGCGACGCGGGCGCGTCCCCGAGAGCCGGCGGGAGGGTAGGCCCCCCTCCCAGCCTCGCCCTCGCTTAGATTCTCTGCCGGACAGGGCGGCACCGGGAGCGGCGGAGCCCCGAGGCCCGGCCCGGGGTCACTCCGCACGGGGTTTGGACCCGCATCCGTACCCCAGTGTCTCAGGGGTTGCGGACCTTTGTTTCACCTCGGGGTTAATAACCCCAGTGTCTAAATGATCTTGTAAATATGTTTGGAAGACAATGCCCTTGCGTTGTTTTCGCCAGATCCCGGTTTAACGCAAAAGGGCTCGAGACGCGTGTGTTGAATTACCTGCAGAGTGCGGGCGGCATCCCGTTTTGTGTTCTCGCTGAACAGGGGTGCCACGTTGGTGAGATGTTAACTACCTCGCCTGGTGTACAATGAGGTTGTGGGTTCGAGCCTGACCCAGACGCCTGCGCTATATTTGGTATTTGGATTCTGCACGTGTGTTTTTTTTTTCTCGGATCCTCCGGTTTGTCCTTCCACATTTAGAGTCACGCGTTTCGAGTAATTAGCAGCGATACATTTCCTCGCGATAAGCCAATTAATTGGGCTATCATTTGTGGCCAAGTCGCTTCTGAAAAATAGTTTATAGACCGACTCCTTGTGTCCCCTTCCATTATCTGATTTACACAACCGGGTGGCAGCACTTTCCCACTCTCCCTGCTAAACCAATATTTGTAATTCTCACACAGGTAATTACTAAATTTGGGGGAACCGAGTGCAATGTGATGGGTGTGTTTTTTCTCAGTCTTTTGTGACCCAGACTGAGATGATCAAACTCGCTACACTTGAGAAGCTGGTTTAGTCGCAAGCGGCTGAAACCTGGATTAGAACCCAGGTCTAAGCGGTGCGAGCTCAATGCTTGAGACCTGTGAGCCACTCGGCCACCTAAACTGCGCTGTTTTTTGAACACCTGCCCTTTAACCCCATGTTCAGTGCCACGTTGCCTCTTGAAAGCCGTTCATTAATGATCCACCAGATCACCCGTGTAAAATTGCGAGCTTTACTCGTGGGTCCTACGACTCAAACAGCCAGGGAGGTTGACCTTGGCCTACGGAATCTGCAAACGCGCGTGTGCATTAATCTCAGCCAGGAGTGCGCCTTGATGCGTGTGCGCTAAGGCGTTGGTGTACGGTGCTTTTTTCAGGAATATTTTGCTGTTTTTTAATGGATTTTCTGTTTGCAGTCACATAGTCACTTTAAGACGTTTTTCTTGTTCGTGTTTTTTTGTTTGTTGTGGTTGCACCCGAAGAGCGGAATGGCTCACAGGGCTATACCAAAATAAAGAAACTGAATTTGTTGTTGCACAGATCGCATGTGTAACGTACCGTTTCTTGTTTCGTTGAATGTACTTTTGCTTGGAAGGCACTTTCACGATGTTAGACGTACATCTCAGACACTTTTATGTGAGCGGGTAAGCTTTAATGTAATCTGAAGTGGCTTATTTATTTGGCCATGGAATGCAATTCCATGGTTGTCGAACGTACAAAATGACTTCCGCTTCCATGCTGGAATGATGGTGGTGATTGTGTATTCATTGTCACGGTCGTGTCGAGCCATTAAATTATTTCTGGTTTGTTCCATCCATGTATTTTTTTACAAACTACAATGACACACCGTGCGGATTATAACGTTAATTTTTTAATGTTGACTGTGAGGTTGCCTAATTTGCAAAATTGCCTTGGTGAGTTATGACAAAACTACACGACTGAATGTCATTGTTATACATGGCTTACCACCGATTATTATGGTGCAATCGATAAGTTTAAATATACACGACATTTACACGTCAATGTCACACGCCTTCGCCAGCACGGTTTAATTTCCTTTAACACGCTCCTTCATTTCTTGTACGGATATGCATTGAGTAGCGACTATAAATCGATGTCTAAGTTGTAAATCCAGCCACTGGCTTTAGACACCACGGGTGAATTGGCTGAATGAACAAGTCCTCGCTTAACGCGTGGTATACACACAGCAACGCGTTTTCGCTCCAACGCATTCCTTCCATTTGGGAACACTTTACGCAGAATGCGCACCTCGTTATAACGCGGGCCACGCACCATTCTAACGAGGAACGTGGACCGTTATAACGCAGGTTCCGAGTGGTCAATGACGAACTACTTTCTTGGGCTGTGCGGCTGAGCGGTATGATACAGGAATGCGGCGGCATACACTCAGTTATTTGTGCCACCATCTTACCTTGTGTGAGTAGTACTTTGTATCTCGCCAAACATTATCGTTACTTTCTTTATGGGGAAATAGTTTTTGCTGAACGCGTTTTTCGCTTCACGAAGCACTTTTCAGGAATGCATCTTCTGTTTTAAATGAGGACTTGCTGTACACTATTATATACGCGTGCGGTGTAGGACTGTTGGGGCTGGTTGACTGATGTTTGGAGACGGCCGCGTTCATGACAGACATAGGCAGTGACTTCAGCAAAATTCTGATGATCCTGTGCGATTGAGTACATCGACTCTTATTTCCCCAGTCTGGCTTCAGTTTAATAATATTAACAATAATGAGACATCCAAATTGCTCCGAACGCGCCGGATGTCATCGCAGCTCGGAAGCAAAGCCGCGTGCAAGCCTGACGAGTACTTGGGTGGGTGACCACCGGGGCTCGTCGGGACGTCATTGGCACGGCGTTGCGAGGAGTGCAGCAGAAGGAAGTGCGGTGACCCATGACCTCCCCCACCTCACCCCTCCGGCAGGGCTGGACCACGACGCGGCGTTCGGAAAGGTCGTGGCGGAGCTGCGGCGGACGCATCCGGGGCACGTGCTGCCCGACAGCGAGATGCAGTGGGTGTTTGTAAATGCAGGCGGTTGGATGGGCGCCATGTACCTCCTGCACGCATCCCTCACCGAGTACGTGCTGCTCTTCGGCACGGCGGTCGATACTTCCGGGCACTCCGGTACGACTCTCAACCCTCCCCGACCGCCAACGCGCGGCCTCCATCCCCCCCCCCCCAACCCGCACGTTGTTTTGGATGTTTGCGACTATCGTTCGAGGCCGATTTATATCGGAACAAACGAGCGGAACGGATGATGTTGACGAGACAGACAATGCAGGTGAGGGAGACGATTATAAAATGAGACACTCGGACGAGACAAACTATACAGATGGGTCACAATATGAAGGGGACAGGACAGGTGAGAGCACAGACAGGGTACAAGTTTCAAGGTAATTTTCTTGACCCAGGTAAGAACACACGAGTACAGGGCAGTCTCATTTCCAAAGAGTGACCTCTATCATCAAGCCGGCAAAAGACAAGTAACAAAAAGAAACATGTTTAGACATGGCTAACAAGATCGTTTCTTCATCACCACCTCCTCCAGTGACATCCCCCATACCCCCCGCTTCATCCCCCCCTCACCCCCACGCAACCCGAGTCGAGGTCGCCTGTCGTGCGGGATGAATGAGGCAGCCCGGAGACAAAAATGACGCTGATAAATCACCGTCCACGTCTTAATGCACGGCACGCAGCGTCCCCCGCGTCGGAGTGCGCCTGTCCCTGTCCTTCAGCGGACCCCACCGGACCCCATTGGGTCCCACCGGGTCTCACTGGGGGCCCTGACGGATTGGACTTTCGCGGTAGGAAGACAACGTAGTGGCCAACCATTGGTTTAATTTCGATTAGAAATTTCGAGCGGCACTCGGCATGGTACCCCATAGGATTCCATCCGATTCATTGGGATCGCTTCTCATTTGTATCGTCTCATTTGTGTCGTCGTATTGTCTTATATAGCTTATTGCTGCTCGCGGGAAACGTTCCGTCTCGGTGTGTGGTGGTGCAGGCCGCTACTGGGCGAACATCTCTGACACGATCATATCAGGGACGTTCCGCCAGTGGAAGGAGGGCACCACGAAGAGCGAGGTATTCTACCCAGGTGAGCCAATCGTCGTCCCCCCCCCACGCTGTAATCCCGGAGGTTCACATCTACTGATTTAAGCCGCGTTCTCAAGTGCGGCGGAGAATTTAACGGTCACGGCACGGTCACCAATGACTACACACACAAAAATCGTCGGATTAAATTTGTTTCTGCACGCAGTTTGGCTGAATTGCAGCTCTAGGGATGAAAATGATCAGTTTAGTTGTCATGCAACAACACATTATTCTGTAGCAGGAGGCGTGAGTGGGCAGGTGTCACTGCGCACTGGAAGGAATTTCAAAGGATCTCACGAGTAGTTACATGACATCCGCTTCTGGACTATTCTCTAACATGAAGGCTTGCATTGTGCTGGAAAAAATATCCGGTTGTGAGAAATGTGGAGTCCTCTTGTCCACATTTATTTTTCTGCATGCCCTATTAACTGTCGTCACGCGCCCCTCTTTCTTTCCATCTTGTGCCCCCCCACGTTGCGCCTGCCCCCAGGCGACACGATCGTGCACGGCGCGGGCGAGGCGACGTCCGTGCAGTGGACGGCCGGCACATGGATGGTGGAGTACGGACGCGGCTTCATCCCGTCCACGCTGGGCTTTGCGCTCGCCGACACACTCTTCAGCACGCAGGACTTTCTCACCGTATTCTGGACGCTGCGCGTGTACGCACGCGCCCTGGCGCTCGAGATCACCACCGAGCTGCGTGACGCCGGCCTGCTGTGACGCGTGACGTCGCCACCCCCCACCACACCCGCAATGGGAAAGCGATCGGTAGTCGGAGGGGTGGCAACAGACAGTGTGGTGGGGAGGTGGGGCAAAGAAGATGCAGGGCACACGGTGCAAGCAAGTTCCAGTCCTGCACGAACCCTAATTCGCCAATAAGTCCACCAGTACCGGCCATCCCACTGGTCCTAATCCGAACTAGCAAACTTTCCAACCAGCCACCCACTCCTACTGCCCTCCCACTGGCCATAAACCCAACCTACCCAACGAGTTAACCAGAAACTACGATGGACACTAGGTTAAGTTAAATAGCCGAGTGTGGGGCTCTTGGAAAGTTAAAGCGTTCGCTGCCGAGCCCAAACCTAGCACCCATTAATCTATCCACATAAAAATCCAACGAAAGAGGAAGTGAATCGAGGCACAGGCGGTATTGACAAACGGTGAATGAGTCTCACCCCCGACTTGCCTCGTGTCCTTCGTAGTACCAGCCCCTCCACTCACCTTAGTAACTAGCCACCAGTACAAGGCCTCTTGCTGATCTTAATCGAATCCAATTTGACAACTAGCCACCCATTATCCAGCTCTTCTTATCCCCTACCTCCTGCACTGTCATGGCCCCCTTTCACTTGAGCGTTGCTTCTCTGTTGCGGTGTTCACTTGTCTACGTGTGTGTGCGCGAATTGTCCCATTGCACGTCACAAGGGAGGCGCTGCAAATCTGCACTTTGATCCCCCCCCCCCTGCGGGTCACGTGGGGGACTGTGTGATTGGCTGGTCAAGTCTGCTGCGTTGATATTCCTGCTGTTTATATGTCGGTCATGGATTTTCTGTCTGCAGTCCTCGCAAAAGGAATCCTCACTGGGCTTCTAGATTTACGACCGCCCTACATTATAGGATGTATCACGAGTTGATGTCTGGTCACTGATGACTGAACAGAAAAAAATCCCATTGCATTACATTTGGTTGGGCGCGTAATTTGGCGAAATTCCGGCTCTATTGAATTAAAAAATATATTTTTCACTCGTGCGACCAAAATTACTCTCATGGCAGAGCGTGTGGAAAAGTGCTGGCCTCTGCTGTGTACCAGGGAGGGCTGTACTGTCCACTTCCATGGGGCCACTCGAAAGTCCACATTGGTTGCGCCATCTCTGCAACAGATCCAAATGAAGAACCTAGTCTAATGACATTGCAACGATTGCACGGTCGGGATATAATTGGTGGAAATGCAATAAAATGTTCAAAGGTAGGATGGGCGAACTGCAGGTTGAAGTTCCTGTGTGACTGCACACCGAGAACCTTTTGGGGGGGCCCTCTATTTGACTTAGCGGTCAACGTCCAACCCTGTGCAGTGTTGAGAGGCTGACTTTAATCCACGTGTGCCAGCGCTCATGGGCAAGTCACCAAGGTGGCTTTTTGACTGAGCAGATCTCATGCTGTGTTGGTTTGAGGGCTGCATTGCTCCTGGCCCTGTGTATTGAAAGCTGCTACCTACCCCAAAAGTCGTTGCTGTTTTGTGTTTAACGTCTGATCATATCTGAGCCACAAGCAAGGGAACTGTGACAAACTAAAGCATTTAATAATTTATTTTAGAATACCTGATTACTCTTAATTAATCGGTGATGTCCAATTACTTATTTGCAGTGGTGTGGAAACATGCTGCTAATGAGCTCACAAGGTGGGCGGGACCCATTGGTAATTGGTTTGCGGCTGGTTAACTTACCAGTGGTGGCATAACCAGGCATTGAACAATTCAGCTTGGCAACACTATTCGAGTATTTCGTGACTTAGTCGTCGTGCGTGCGATGTCCATGAAGCACTTGTGTGTAGTACAACGAATTGACTTTAATATTAAGCGTTGCATTGTTAAGTGGCTAACCAAACGCCGCCACTGCTGAATGTCTCCCCCCCCCCCATCCCATGCTGTTTGCCGTCGTTTCCCTGGGGGGAGGGGGACACGGATGGAAAGAGCAATAGCGACCACGTGTCACGGCTTGTGCTGCTTTGCCTGGTCAGGTTCCCCCCACCCACTGTCCAGCTGCTCAGGCCTGCCTGCCTGATAGGTTTGGGGCATAGGGTGGGTTTTGGGGGGGGGGTTGACTGCTGCTGGGTGTTGGTGTGTCCTGTTGGTTTACAAAACATTTGTCTCGATGACGTGGGGGGGGATTATGTAGGTGTAATAAACGAGTCATCCATGGACAGCTTGTGCACGTTTTATTTTTTGTCCACAAAGTGGGTGATATATAATCAGCTCTGCAACAAAGCAAAACGGAAATTGATTCAAATTAACTTAAAAGTACTTTCTAAGGTAATGCTACAAACAAAGCCATCACTATCTTACAGGTTCTCTTTAATACTCACATTTTAATGCAGTAAAAATCATAGTTTAGCCACTGTATAAACGGCTGCCAAAGCCTGAAAAAGTTTCTGTAAAAATGTTTTTTTTTACAATTGCTTACGAAAGAAAAACTGAAGATTGCATCATGGGATGGGTCGGTGTCAATTACAGGGCAAGGTTGGCAATCGCACGTTTCCAAAGACAAAACGACCCCCTAACTTATCCGTTTGCAAATCGAGTGGGATTTTTGGCGACGATTATTGTTCCCCCCACCCCTGGTCCGATGGCGTAGCTTGTTGTGGAGCCGTCGGCCGAGAGGAGCGGTTTCTCGAGGTTGCTGCTGCTCGTTGATTGGTGGCTCACTTGTAGTAGCGATGAGTCTGGCTGTGCTGGATGAAGTGGTGCCGTTGGGTCTGCTGCTGTTGTTGCTGCTGCTGTTGCTGCTGTTGCTGCTGCTGTTGTTGCTGGGACGCCGGAGAGAACGTGGCCTGCCCAACATACCGAGACAAAGATTCCCCCCCCCATAGCCTTAACAGACTATAGGAGCAAGTGCTGCTAGCGAGCACCGGTGAGAGCCAGCACGGCACACCACACGCCAGCTAGGGGGACACCCAGACCCGGTTCATATAACGGTCACTGGTGATGGCCATGGACAGAAATCGAACTCGGGTTGCTGAGTTCGTAGTAAAGTGCGCTAACAGCTTCACTAGTCCCCACACACATGCAGGCTCTCTCGTGCATGCAACAGCCGCCATTCACAAACTGACGGTGGTTGTTACCACAGCGCTCGTGCCAGGCTAGGTGTGCTTTCACGCTTGCTGCCAGGTGCTATGGGTTGACCTGATAAGACTGTCAGATTGTGGAATGTTCGTGTATGCGATGAACACAATCCCGCCAAACTTTTAGTGTGCGTAGACAATGCCGAGACTCACCGAGTGTGACGGCTGTGGGGGTGTGCCGCTGTGCTGGAAGGCCCCGGGAGAGGTGGGCCTCGTCTGATGGGGGTAAATCATGCCGGACTGGAAATCACACAAAGCAATGCACGCACACACACGCACGCATTCATTACCACCTCTTACGGGCAAGCAGCTCGACTCGTGCAAGAGCGGCAGTTTTTGCGCGTGTGTTCACGGGCGCACTGCACCTTGGCGGACGGCAGGGACACCTGCAGCTGGGTAGGCTGCAGCAGCGTCTGTCCTGCGTGCATCGACTGGGGGTGCAGCGATCGCAGCGACGCCTACGCACAGACGGGGGGAGTCGCGCGTGACAACATGCGCTCGCAAACACGGGTAAATGGGCGAGAACGGGACTGGCGCTGGCTCACCGAGTCTGAGAATCCCGACTGCTGGTTGGCGTGCTCCAGCTGCTTCTGCAGGGGCATGCTTGTCGCCGGCGCTAGGTACCCTGCCCATCGCACACGTACACGCACACACAGACACGGCTCAGCCACAGAGGCGCTGTTGTCGTGGTTGCCACTGGCGTTTGCGCGTTGGGTGCGCGGTGTAGGCACTGGGCACTCGGCCTGTAATGTTCCATCGCTTCTTACGCTTGCGACAAAGTCAACTCGCCATTATGCAGGGTAATAGTGGCGGGGATAAAAGAGAAACCTGCCAAGTCTCAAGACATTTCAGGAAGGTCCTGCCAAGTACAGGGCGATGTTGCTGCTATGTGTAGTCCCAATTAAGAAATGTGAAGGTACATTTTCAGCAATGGGATGTTTGCCCCATACCAGTTGCATTGAATGTTTTGTTTTAGCTATGGGACGAAACCCATGCAGAATAGGGGAGGACAGACAAACTCCACACAGGAAGACGCGACTGAGTCTGGAACTGAACCCAGGTCCTGCTCGATGTGAGCCACGAGTGTTACCAACGTGCCACCCCGTTAAACCTACACGAGCAGTCTCTTCGTCGTCGATTATGTGAGTGTGCGTGGGATGTTTGTGCGTGTCTCTACTTGAGTCCGCGCGCGAATGAGCGAACGAGTGCGCACATGCAAGAATACGAGAGGCGCAGACAGGGTCACACCTTGCTGGGGAGGGAACTGGGTGTGCACGGTATATCCCGTCTGCTGGTGGGACACGTAGGGAGGGTAGGACTGGAAGGCAGACGCCCCTGCAATGGGGGGGGGGGGAAGGGAAAATAATATTTTTGCTCGATGCTTGGCATTCATATTATCGTGACCATCGCAACTTCCACCACTCACTATTAAGTGCGCTCATTACTACTTCTCGTTTTACGACTGCGTTTACCTTGGAAAGCCTCCCCGATATTTTTGCACAGTAGAGAGCGATGTTGCCGCTGTGCGATGCCAATTTATTAATTTGCAGGTAATTGTATATGTTCTTTTTAGCTATGGGAGTAAACCGGAGAATCCGGAGGAAACCCATATCGAACACGGGGAGAACGTACAAACTCCACACAGAAAGGTGTCAGAGTAGGGAATCGAACTCGGGTCCTTCCTTGCTCAGGCACAGGTTTACCAGCGAACAAAACAATGAGCTTTACTTGAGTTGTTCATGAACCAGGCTTTAAGGGTTAGGGTAGGATGGGTAGGAAAGGGGTCTTTGCGAAACGGCAGTGTTGCCACATCTGGAGATTTCATTGTCGTATCTCAACTCCAGGATGATATCGTATTTCTTGGAGAAATTATCATACAAAGAAAACCACGCCAAAGCATCCTTAATATACAATTATATTGCCGTAAATAGCAAATATTTGTTTTTGCTTCAAGCTAAGTTCCAAAGAAGAATCAATATCCTCTACATAACACAAGGCAGCCGATGAAGGAATGCTCTGGGCGGGTGTGTTGAAATGTACGACAATGAGTAAATAACGTATATTTTGGCCCCTCACAATTACACAAGGGCCGAAATGATCGTACAAACGTGGTTACATTGGCAACACTGCCCTCCGATGTAACAGGCACACACACTGGTACAATTACACGCGTGACAACACACGTACGCTCACCTCTGATTGGCTGGGAGCCGGCTGGGTAGGTGGCAGGGACAGCCTGCCCACCCGTGTAGGGCACGCTGTGCTGCGATTGGCTGCTGGCGTAGGAGCTGTGCCCCGATTGGCTCGTTTGAAAATGTGCGTGTTCGGGCTGGCTTGACGTAAACGTTGTCTGGCTTGGGTAGGCCCTTCCCTGCATTGGGGGAAAACAAAAACGTCTCAAATGCCACTTAGCAAAGCACAAGCAGTCTCATGCTGTAAATTAGGCTCCCCAAGTGCGGCTGTTTTGAATGTACGGTAACGGATAAATTGACACGCGCTTTAAATTGTTAAGCGTCCAATAGAAAGCATAATAACGACGCAGGACTGTGACGGCTAGTGTAGAGAGTCCCGGCGTCTTACAGCCTGGAACACACAGCCTAGGCAACCCAAGGCATGTGTATACAGGATAAGAGCCCTCGAGTTTTTGGGTTGTGCACCTTCCTTGGCCCCTACCGTACCGGGATGGTGGTGTGGCTGTAAAGTTGGTTCTTTGGCCGATCTCCCAGCAGCCCGTGCGCTCGGCTTGGCGAGATGTGGCTTCCTGCACAGGCGCACCAACACGCATGCAATTCACAGGCAAACAGATACTCGTGCATAAGCACACACAAGCGCATGAGCAAAAACACAATTGCATAAGCAATAGCACACGTGCAAACAAATACACAACCACAGAACACACATGTATGCATGCAAACACACATTAAAACACACAAAGATCCCCCCATAGCCTGTACTGACTGTTGGGTCAAGTGCCATTAGTGAGCACTTATTAACACACGTGGGGTGACACGCACAGAAGCATATGCAAGCACATGCACACACACAAAAACGTGTAAACACACATGCAAACGAAACACACGTGTCATGCGAAACACACGTGTCATGCAAAACACACGTGCAAACAGACTACCACGTCCGCCCATGCACTTGCTGCTCTCCACGTGCACACGACAACAGCTCGCTGCACCGCTGGTGCAACGCGTACAGCTGCGCTTCCCACGACGCGTCACTGGTTCCACTCGCTGGCGCGCGCCCCTCACCGTGCATGATGAGGTGCGAGCCAGGGTGAACCGTCATGCTCGCTGGGTACGGCTGCTGGCTCAGTGCCGCCAGCTCGCTGCGGAATGGGGGAACGAGGCGCGGTGAGAAAAGCTCAATGCCGACGGGCAGTGCCACGGAGGTTTCCCTGGAAAGTGGTCATTTTATCGAACCCCGAGAGACGACGGGCCCAGTGAACCGCCTACCGTTTAGCACAGTTGGCTACGTATGGTGCGAAAGACGTTCAACACACATACATATAACCAGGATATGAGCTCGCAACCTTCTGAATGCGAGCCGCTGGCTCTGCCGCCAAGTCTACCCGGCTGCTCACAGACAGCTGGTAAATACGCAGCGAGACGTAACTCGTAATGGAATTGTCGCCTGCTTCTTTCGACTATGCAGGATTGACCCAAAATCTGAAGCAGAATCCTCTTGAGAAGTGTTGGACTCTTGTGTGAACAACGGACTAACGCTGTAGTGTGTGTGCCACGGTGGCGAGATATTAACTACCTCTAGATTTGAAGCTTTCGTGACTGCAAGGATCCATACTCTTTGGTTCTATTCGGTACCTACATTACCTAAGGGACTTTACTGAATAGAACCAAAGAGTATTAACTACCTCGCCTGGTATACAGGTCATGGGTTCGATCCCGGCCCTGATGCCTGCTGTGGATTTGGAGTTTGCATGTTCTCCCTGTAGTCGTGTGGATTTTTCTCCAGGTACTCCGGTTTTTCCCTCCACATTTAGAATGAACACACATTGAGAGTTTTTGGCTGTTATACATTTTCATGTGAAAAGCCACTTCGTTGAGTGATCATTT